AGTATGTCCCAAAGAACACATGGGACATACTTATACTAAAAAATTCTTCGCGGTTGAAGGCGCCTGGGGGGCTCAGTGGGTTGAGCATCCAACTCTTAATTTCGGCTCAGGTCATGATCTCCCGGTTTGTGGGTTCAAGCCCCACATCGGGCTCTGTGCTGAGAGGGCAGAGCCTACTTTGGATTCTCTCTCTCCCTTTCTCTCTGCCCCTCCCCTGCTTGTGCTCTGTCTCTCCCTCCTCTCTCAAAATAAATAAACTGGAAAAAAATTTGTTTAACTTATTTGTGGTTGATCTGAAATTTAAATTTAATAATGAATAATTTTTGAATATAATATATCCCATGAAATATTTAGTATATGTCCCAAATATTGAATGGGGCCCATTTATACTAAAAAATCATTTTGTTTATCTGAAACGCAGAGGTAACTGAGCACCCTGCATTTTTATCTGCCAAATTGGCCAGCTGTATATACTGGGCACTGGGGGTGGGGGTAGGAGCCTGTCTTTGCCCCCTATCCCTTAGGGGCACAGCCAAGTGTTTCTGCCCCAGTGGTGGGGGACTTTGCCAAATGGCCCACTCTGGGCCTCAGTCTTCCTGTCTGTGTAGTGACTTTCTGATTCAATGAAGACAACACTTTGAATTTTATTCCGTCCCTTTTTCTAGGCTGCCAAGCAAATCAAAGATGGGTAAGATGCCGGGATCTGGTTCCCACCCCAGTGCCCTGTCCCTGGTGTGAAGGTGGGGTCCCTTGGCCCAGCGCACTGAACCAGAACAAAGGGGACTGGGTCTCCCGCGCGCGCTTCAGAGGCCTGGGCCCTTTTGAGATGCCTGCCGGCAGGCTGCCTCTATCTTCCTCCCTGCAGTGTGACGATGGCGCCTGCCTTCCGGCTGTCATTGAAGGCCAAGGTCAGCGACAACATGAGTCACCTCATGGTGGACTTTGCACAGGAGCGCAGGATGCTACAGGCACTCAAGTTCCTACCTGGTGAGAGGGGAACTTTCTCCCGGCCTGGATTTCAGGGAAATGGCCCAGGAGTCTAGGGTAGCCTGAGAAAGGCTGGGGTAAACCTGGCGTTGAAATCCCGAAGGCACCGCTCCTGGAGGTAGAGCCCTGAGGATACCCTGCCTGTGTGGGTGGGGCCACGAGGAGGCCTGCCCCTGGGGGTGGGGCCTTGAGGATACCCTGCCTGTGTGGGTGGGGCCACGAGGAGGCCCGCCCCTGTGGGTGGGGCCTTGAGGATATCCTGCCTGTGTGTGTGGGGCCATGAGGAGGCCCACCCCAGGAGGTGGGGCCATGAGTATATCCGGCCTGTGTGGGTGGGGCCACGAGGAGGCCCGCCCCTGGGAGTGGAGCCACGAGGATACCCTGCCTGTGTGTGTGGGGCCATGAGGAGGCCCGCCCCTGTGGGTGGGGCCTTGAGGATATCCTGCCTGTGTGGGTGGGGCCACGAGGAGGCCCGCCCCAGGAGGTGGGGCCACGAGGATAGCCTGCCTGTGTGGATGGGGCCACGAGGAAGCCCGCTCCTGGTGGCCCAGTCCTGGAAAGCCCTACCCACCTCCCATGAAGGCCATGCCCCTATGAGAGAATTCTAGAAATTATCCTGAAATGGTGGTATTCTGAGAAGGCCCAGGTCTTTGTCGGTTGAACCCTGAGGAAGCTCTTCCCCACCACCCCACTCTGGTGAAACCCTGTGGAAGCTCCACCCCCCAGGCCCCAGTGCCCGGAGGGGCCCCGCTCCCAAGGTTGGGCTCCAGAGGAGGCCCCCAAGAAGGCCTAAATTGCGGGTGAGGTTTCTGTAAGATCGCCCTTGCAGGCAAAGGACCTGAGCCCCCCTCCCCCCGTCCTGGACAGTGCCCAGCGCCCCTGTGATTGACCTGGCCGAGTCCCTGGTGGCAGACAACTGCGTGACCTTGGTGTGGCGCATGCCGGACGAGGACAGCAAGATCGACCACTACGTGCTCGAGTACAGGCGGACCAACTTCGAGGGCCCGCCCCGCCTCAAGGAGGAGCAGCCGTGGATGGTCATCGAGGGCATCCGGCAGACGGAGTACACCCTGACCGGTAAGCAGCTCAGCCCTGCTGCTGACACCCACCCCGCCCCCTACCCCCAGCCCCGTTGGGCTCAGCCCCCTCCGGGCTCCGTTTCCCCATCAACTGGGGGCCCCGCTGGGCTGATCAGGAGTAACGAAGTGATAATAATAAAAACGATGTTGATGGCAGGCACCGCGCCGTTTCTGGAGGGCTTACTATGTGCTAAATGTTTGCCCCACACGTAACGAACAACGGACACGCGTCTCACCGCCAGTTTACGGATGAGAGGACTGAGGCCCGGGGAGGCAAGGCGTTCCCCATCGGCGTCTCACGTCTCCTATGCAGCGTTCATTCATTCATTTCCGGGTATTGAGCGCCTGCCGGTGGTGCCCTTGCCCTAGTGAGCAAGACTGGCGACAGTCCCGCCCTGGAGCTGGCATCCTCCCAGTGTTGGGGGATTTCCTTGGCAGTCGTCAGAAAGCAGAAAGCGTGGGGATTCCCCCCAGCCGGAAGGGGAGTGTCTCCAGAAGGGTAAATCGGGGGTCCCTGATGACATTCAGCAGCCGTCTGCGCCGGAGGAAATCCTCAGTGGCGGGGAGAGCCGTGCCCACAAGATAACTGTCGCTACAGCTCTTGGGCTGTAATCAGCCTGTTCTTTATCTGTAATTAGCATGCATGGTTACTAATGAGCATGCTAATTGCAGGAAAGAAAAGCCAGCAGCCAGGAAAAGGGCCTGAGAAGCTACTGGTTTATTATCCTTTGCGTGGGAATCAAAACAAACATATCCCACTCCCCCCACCCCCCACCCCCAGGCTTTGTTTTTATTTTATTTATTTTATTTTTTTAAACACTTATTTATTCTGGAGAGACACAGAGAGGCAGCGTGTAAGTGGGGGAGGGGCAGGAGACGCAGAACCCGAAGCAGGATCCGCCAGTAGCCGCTTCCGTAACTGTAGCTCCATATCTAAACCAAGGAACAGACAGGAGCCTCGTGGGTCCGCGTTTCGCTGGCGTTACGTGCCTTCGTCCGTGTGCGCACGCGCGTGTGTACGCCCGTATGCGGTTTCGTCCCGTGTGCAAGTTCAGGTACCGGCCACCACGGTCAGCGTGGAGGTCTGTCGCATCCCAGGCTTCCTGATGCGTCACCCCCTCGCCACCCCCCTCTTGTTGCCTTTTGCAACATTCCTAGTGAGTGCGTTCCGCAGGGCAGGACGTTGAATCCACTGAAAGGCGTGTGATGTCGATAGGGACGAATGCTCTCATCTAGGCAACGAACCCGTGTCGTCATTTGTCGTCTCCGTTGCTTGGACAAATCGGGAGGGGTTTGGTTTAGCGTTTGGTACGTACATGCCTCGACTCATCGCGTCCTCATGTGAACCCTGCTTGGGATTTGGCATTGCGATTGCCAGTTTGCAGAGTAGGAAACTGAGGCACACAGTGAGTCCAGACCGCCCATAGGCACGTCGGTTCCAGGTTTCAGAAGCTGATCCTTCTGGTTGGTAATTAATCTCTGCTCTGGGGCAGTAGGTGGTGTTGCTGAGTAATGTACTGGGCTCTCAGGGAAGGGGATCCGGACAAGGGGGAGACAGTCTGGGTGGGCATCTGGAAGAGGTGGCAGCCAGGCTGAGGCCCGACAGAGGAGGGGAGGGTGGAGAAGAGTCTTCTAGGCAGAACAGCCTGATCTAGGGCTCAGAGGCCAGAGCGCTGAGCCTTTTATGTCCGAATTTGCATGCCACCCTTCTGCAGGGGCCATGCTAGCGTTCTCTATATCGTTCCAATTTTATGTTATTTTTCTAAAGCTTATTTATTTTGAGACAGAGAGCTCAGGCAAGTGGGGGAGGGGCAGAGAGAGAGAGAGAGAGAGAGAGAGAGAGGGAGGGAGACACAGAACCCCAAGCAGGCTCCACGCTGCCGGTGCAGAGCCCGACGCGGGGCTCGATCTCACGCACGGTGAGATCATGACCTGAGCCGAGGTCAGGAGTCAGCTGTTGCACCAATTGAGCCACCCAGGCGTCCCTGGGTGATTCCAATTTTAGTCTACATGCTGCTGAAGCGAGCACTGCGAACCTTTGTGTCCGAAACTAAGTTAGGTTTGCGGACAGAACAACATCTGTGGGGAGAAGTGAGATGAAGCTATGGGAGGTTTTAGAGCAGGGGGCGCTGAGTACTGTTTTGGACGATCAGAGGACGGGCATCCCAGGGGGAACACTCAAGAGGCAACTGGGCATGTGGTCTGAGCTAGGGGTTGGGCAGTGGGTGCTCTGGTGGACGGATGGTGTCTGAAGTGCAAGAAGGGGACAGGGGCACGGTGACACGAATAAGAGCCCCAGACAGAGTCACCCTGACATTTAAGGGTGTTGAGGATGGAAGTGCCTGCAAAGAAGACCTAGGGAGAACAAACAGAGGGGGGGAGCCAAGAGACGGCAGTGCCGTGGCTGCCAGGGAGAGAATGTTCCAGGATGGAAGGAGTGGTCAGCCAGGAGGTCCTGCGAGGTGGGGGACCGACAAAGGCCAGAGGAGGGAGAGTGAGCGAGGCAGCAGAGAAGGGGTGAGGGTGTAGACAGCTCTCCAAAGAGGTTTAGCTTGAGGGGAAGGACAACTGGGTAGCTGCTTTTTATTTTTGAAGACTGGAAGAAACGAACCCAAAAAGAAAGAAAGAAAGCGGGGGACATATCCTAGAAGTAGGGAATATCTTTAAGTAACCAGGCATGGGGAGATCGAGGGGTTCCAGCAAATCAAATGGCTCGTTCGCCTTTGTTCCCTGCCTTTGTTGCGTGTGGATGCGACATTCTGAAGGAGGCTTGCCAAATGCACTGACAGATTTTCCCTAGAGGAGCTTCCTCCCTGCTGGCCAGCCTCAGACAGTAACTCTGTTCCCTATAATACCAGCCCAAAGTCCCAGGGAAGTTTCTGATTGGCCAGTTTGGGTCATGTGCCCATTCCTGAGCCAGTCGCTGTTACTGTGTCCCTAAGCATCCTGATTGGCCAATCTGGATTGGAGGCGGAGCCAAGTACCCATAGTACCACAGGTAAATGAGGGCAAGGATGGTGTCTCAGGGATAAGATGTCGTTTGCAAGGTGCTCCTTAGAATGAGTACTGGGACTACCGTGGGACACAGGGACCTGTAGCCTTTTGCTCAAAGTGCACGCCACGTTGAGATCCCTCTGTTGCTCCTAGGTCTCAAGTTTGACATGAAATACATGAATTTCCGTGTGAAGGCCTGTAATAAGGCAGTTGCAGGCGAGTTCTCCGAGTCGGTGACCCTGGAGACACCAGGTGACTGGTTCCCACCCCTACCCTGGCTGTGACTCCATAACCCCTCACCCTGGGGCCCCAGGTACTGGTGTGTAATAAGCATCTTCTTTCAACATTTATTTATTTTTGGGACAGAGAGAGACAGAGCATGAAGGGGGGAGGGGCAGAGAGAGAGGGAGACACAGAATCGGAAACAGGCTCCAGGCTCCGAGCCATCAGCCCAGAGCCTGACGCGGGGCTCGAACTCACGGACCGCGAGATCGTGACCTGGCTGAAGTCGGACGCTTAACCGACTGCGCCACCCAGGCGCCCCTGTAATAAGCATCTTCTAATCAGGGCTCAGTGACTCTTTTTGCTCTGGCTGCTAGGAAGCTCGGAGCTTAGTCCCCAGTAGCTTCCTTAACCTGAGTGTCTAATATACACCTGCCATGGTTTTTTGCTTTTGCACTTGAGCCCATTATACTGGATGGGTTTTATACTCTCTCTCTCTTTCACACACACGCACACACACACACACACACACACACACACCCTCCCTCTCTCTTTTTCTCTCCTAAAAACTAGATAAGCGCTCTTAGAATTGGGGATGGGATATCAGTAGTGAAGCCCGCGCTTACTCTCCTGCAGCAACACCTTTGTGTGCTCTGCGAGGAGGACTTTCTAGAGTCTAGCCTAACTGTCGTGCTATAGCCCGGGCCCCTTCCTGTGACTACCCTCCAGCAGAAGCACCACCAGTGCTCTGAAAATGGCTCCAGACCTAGGGGACCCTCAGGCAACAAGCCCTCAGCCTTCACTCCCTTGGCCCTCGGCTCTGCCCCGTCTGTCTTTCTTGGCGTCCTGCTGCCTGTCGCTCTGTATCCGTCTGTCTCTGAGCCCGGCAACCTCTCTCGTTTTCTCTGTCTTAGTCCCTGCTGTCGCTCTCTGCTCTCCGTCCCTGTCACATGGTTTGTCTTGGTCACTGTCTGTCTCTCTGTCTCTCTGTGTCTCTCCGGGTTTCCCCATCTCTGTGACTCCCACGTCTGCCCGGCCCCAGCGTTCATGTTCCGCCTGGACGCGTCCACATCTCACCAGAACCTGCGAGTGGATGATCTCTCCGTGGAGTGGGACGCCATGGGCGGGAAGGTGCAGGACATCAAGGCCCGCGAGAAGGACGGCAAGGGGCGCACGGCGTCTCCCGTCAACTCCCCCGCCAGGTAGCCTTCCCCCTGGCCCCCCTGGCCTCCCTGAGTTTCTGGTGGAGGAGATCACACGGGGCAGGGAGACCCAGAGCCCAGCGTGGTCAAGGCTGGGGTGGAAGGAGGGAGCCCGAGAAGGGAGAGGAGATTTGTTTTTATAATGTGTATTTATTTT